TCAGGAAGTCGACCAGCACCAGTTGCCCTTGGTTACGTGTGAGGTCACAAAGCTGCCGTAAACCCGGCGTTGCATTGTGCTGGATTTACACACAAACAGGAAGCAGCAACAACTGTCAGGTTTTCAAAATAAATCTTTCAAACTGAAGTGTAAGAATTGTGCTTTTGATCTTAAAGAAGGAGCCGTCTGTTCGTCGTCATGGTGACGACTTGTGGACACATCTTACAGTTCAGTCTGAACGTCTTCAGAGTGACACTGAGCGAGCCGACCAAGTTCATTTTTTATTGATCTGTGATGTGGATCGGCGCTGTCAGTCCGACACCTGATATGTAAAATGTCAATATCGCACCCGTCCCAGCTCTACTTTTGACTCGACCACATTTCTATGAACGCTCTCGTTACTGTCGCTCTAAAAGTCAGCCGATGAATTTTATTCTCTTTTCTAAAATCCGACCACAAAGACGATAAACTGTGTGTGTGTGTTGTTTGTCTTCGTGGTGTTGCCGTACCTGTACATCGTTCATCTCCATTTTATTTTTAGTGTAACTGATTTATTTTTGGGGCTTTTATTTTGACAGGACAGCGGACAGACTGCCGTGCGGGGAAAGGAGCAGCGGGTCGGACTTGAACCCGGGCCGCTCGCTTTGAGGATTAATGGTGCGATCCATCTGACCTCCATTTTTAAATGTAGCACTAACAAATCAGTGGTGGTCTTGATCGGTCTTGTTTTTTAAAAATCTGGAGTCCGTCCAGTCTGAGGAGACCCGAGACGAGGCCGAGACGAGGCCGAGCGAAACCTGCAGAAAGCAGTTTTGAGACCGAGTACAACAACACTACGTAGCGGCCATGTTGGAGTTTAACTTGGACTAATGAAGTTTCTCCAAATGCTCAGAATTCCAACTTCAGGATGGTGCGTTCCTGATGACGTGTCAGACCTGTCACTCAGAGCTTTCAACTCCTGAATACAAATGGAAAACATCACATAGCCTCTGTACATGTGGACGCGACCTGACCCGGTCCGCTAGGCCACCTGCGCCCTGCAAACGCAGACTCTGACTGTTTGAAATGTAAAATATTGTCTCCTGGCTCATCAGGGGGTTTTGGTTTTTTTTTTTTAGTTCTTCCTGTTTTTGTTATTTTCTTTTGGAGTCGCAAATCTGTAAATCTGTAGTTCATGAGTTTAAAAAAAATGTAAATAAAGTTTTCTAAATAAACAACGCAGCAGCAGGAAGTCTTAAATAAACTCACGCATCGTCAAATACAAAAAATAAATAAGTAGTGTAACGTAAGTTTTAATACGACTGAGCGACTTTTAAACTTGTGTTGGAGTCATATTTGACCATTTACACTTTGACTCTGTGTCCACACATCTTCCAAAACTGATCAGGAAGAAAGCAAACTTTAAATCTGACCGAGACACAAAAAGATGCCAAACAAATAAATAATATGTTGTCGTGTTGTTTGCAAACTTTTCCCTCTGATGTGACAAAAAAACAACACAGCACAAACTGGATCATAGTAAAGAGCAGAGATTTAAAATGAGGTCTCCCTGCTCTGACATTTGCCTCTCTCTCTCTCCCCCCCTCTCTCTCTCTCTCTCCCTCATGCTACATCCTGGTACTTCCATCAGCAACGCTCTCTCATCTATCTATCACCCGCAGCCAGAGGGCCAAACTGCATGTGGCATTTCAAAGTGCTGTAATGGCTGTGTGACTGAGCTGTTGCTGGGCAAGTCTGAGTGGGAAAGGGACACACAGGTAGCAGAGAGAGAGAGAGAGAGACAGGTTTTTAATGTTGATGTGCAGAGGAAGGTGAAGGTGGTCTCCTCTTCTTCTCATGTTTTTTTTTTTTTTTAAATGTGTTGGAGGAGCGCAGCTGAAGTTGGAAAGATGTCTCTTTTGTGTCACTTCCAGCCAAAAGGACAAGGTGCACCCCCCCCCCCTCCCCCCCACTCCATTACAGGGCAATGACAAGTCCGCACAAACACTTTAACCAGCCGGCCTCGTCATGTTGATATGCTGGGGGGGGTGTAGGGGGGTGTAGGGGGGGTCCTACCTTGAGGTGTTGGATGAGTTCTCCATAATTAAACTCGACGGACGCGCGGTCGTCGGGCTCGGAGAGGGAGAGGTTGAGCCGCACCGTCGCCCTCTTCTCGTCCCCGTCGCCGGGTTCGCCGAGGCGATCATCGGCGGCGGCTCCTCCTCCTCCTCCTCCTCCTCCTGCCCCGGTCGCTGCTGCCTCGACCTCCCCGGCTCTCCCGAAGTTGAAGTCGGCCTCCTCCTCCTCCTGCAGCCGGCGCTTCCTGGACTCCGCGGCGGCCCCCGGTGCGAAGGCCGAGAGGGTGACAAACTGCACTTTTCTCGGCTCGGCCATTTGTGTGAGCCGCCTGCCTCGTCTGAACCCTCCGCTCCGGACAGACGAGCGACGAGCGAGGAGAAGAAGCTACTTCGCGAAACTACTCCGAATTGAGGTGGGGAGAGGGGGGGGGCTTGTAGCTGCCTACACGACCCTCAGGACCTCCACGATGTGAACTCCACGGGACGCGTCGGTCGGGGGAAAAGTTGTCTTTCCGGCAGCTACTTGCATCCTCGATTCGCTATGGGACCGAGACATTCACAGGAGCCATCTTGGGTTTCGGGAGTAAATAAAATATCAAGAAGAGAGAGGGGTCGCTGCGCATGCGCGTACCCACAGAACGGAAGCATCGTGACACGGGGGGGGGGAGGTAATGACGTCCAATCAGCGTGCGCCCCGATCCTAAACCCGCCTCTGTCACAACAGGAGATAATAACAACACCATCAGCACTATAATGACCTTTATAAAGTGTCTGAGTGAAGGACAGGCGGGGGGATTTACACCCCACATGTCTAATACATCCATAGATAAATTAACATCTTCATCTTGTCTGTTTTTATTTTATAAACAGCTTTTATTTTAATGCCATTCTCTCTCTCTCTCTTTTCAGGAAAATGCTGATTTGCACATTTTTCCACAATGGCTCACACTAAAAACATCAAATCCTAAACGGAAGAAAGCACGTCAGATGATTATCAACCAACCACAGCAGAGAGTGAGGGGCTCTGACGGCCACCTGTTGATTTAAAGAAATAACGCTGAACTGCTCCCAATTACAATAAAATACTGAATAAAGTTGAATTCTTCTTGAGTTTCTGTTCTGCTTTGACAGAAACCATGACAGGGTTGACCTGTTAGAAACCTACAGTGTGTGTGTGTGTGTGTGTGTGTGTGTGGGTGGGGGGGTCCTGTTAAGCCACGTTAACCCCACATCAAACAGCCGCTGTGCAATCTCAATTCAATCCAGTTCATTTTGTCATTATGCTTTTTTTTAAAGGTGCAGTGAACAGACAATGCAGTGATACGCATGTTGCCTAGACCCAATAATCTCATATTTTTCAACTAATCAGATTTATTTAATAAAAAACGGTGCAGCTTCTGTCGGATGTTTTGTACCTCATATCGTGCAAAACATCTGACAGAAGCAAGAAACTGAACAAAACAAAAGCACATCCTCATGACCCACTGAAAACAGCTCCGCGACCCACCTTTGGGTCCCGACCCACCAGTTGAGAACCACTGGCCTGGACACCCTCCCATCCCTTGACACAGATAGTTAGAAATGTAAGACATACATTTGGTCGGCTGAAGTGCCACAGGATAAGTTTGAGTTCAGAGCATTGGTTTCCATCCTGGGGGGGTCCAGGGTCCCCTATGACGAACGGCAAAGATCTCAGGAGGGTTGCGAGGCCATTAATATCCAAATGTGTTCATGAAGCATTTTTAAAAACAACAGGAGCGAAGCAAAAGTGGTGTACAATCAAACATAATAACAGCACAATAAAACACAGACCAAAAGTGTTAAAAGTTAGGCACAAAAGTGCATTTTTGGATTTTCAAACAGGCAGTGTGGGGGTCTGCCTGAACCCACTCTGGATGTAGATTAATATGACACTGTGCCAAGAAAGCTCCCCAAACTCTCATCCCTCTGTGTTAGCTTTGTGCTGACTCAGTCTTTCCATTTGTAGAACAGACAACACGTCCTTAAGTCGGTGTAAGAAGAGGGAGGGTAAGGTCGACTTCCAGGTGAGGAGAATTAGTTTTTTAATTTTTTTTTATTTTAGCATTATGTATGATAGCGTAAAATTTCTGCAGAGCATCCAAACACGGTCAGGATGAATAGATGAAAACTTTATAAAAAGAAACAAATTAAGATAGATGTATCTGGCACATTTTTTGAGAGTTTCTGGGGCCCCGTTAGGGTTAGGTAAAACATGGTCATCCTCAATTTAAGAAGGCTGTTCTCTTCCAGACGGGTTACTCTGGTTTGAATCCGACCTGTGGCTCCTTTCCCACATGTCGTTCCCCACTCTCTCTCTCTCCCTGATTTCCAAATCTATCCACTGTCCTGTCTCTACAATAAAGGCACAAAAAGCCCAAAAATAAATCTTTAAAAAAAGTGTGAACCCCTGTCTTCTTAAAAGGTTTTGAAGCCTTTTGTTTGTGACATTAAAGTTGTGGGCGAGCCCGTTGAACTAAACTGTTCGGATAGTAATGTCGGGCTGGGTGTAGCGATGCCCGGCTCTGCTCAGGTGTTTGAACCCAAAAGTAATCTGTTAGCAAACGACAGGACAGAGCTGGAAATCAGAGACATAACCTCTAGGCCAGCCTTTCCCAAACTTAAGACTGCCGTGCTCGCTTTGAAATACAGAAGTACACCGGGGCCCGTTATAAAATAAAAATGATGACCACCATGATAAGCCTTACTAATCACTTAAAGGGTTGCCTCATGGTAAATCATCATTACTGTGATATTTATTTTGTTTTTATACTTGGTGGAGGGCTTTTCGCGGCCCACCTGCAGTACCCGCACGACCCACCAGGGGTCCGCTCTAGGCTATCGAGCGCCCCTTAAGTATTGCTTTAATAAAGAAGAGGCTTCTGCACAGACATTCATTAAAACCAATGACTCACAACATGAAGGTTAATTTCACATTTTAATACAAATATAGAAGAACATTGAGAATTGCAATCCTGACACATTTTCATATAAAACCATGAAGTTTAGCAGAGATAAAAGCTTCATATTTCTTTGCTTCATGTGGCATAGACACCACTGGTAAGAGACGACATAACCATGACGAGTAGAGACGTGTGCATAATGGAGACGCTCGTCATGCGGGCCGGCGGCGGGCAGGAGCTGGAGCCAGGTGCTGCTGGCTGTCAGGAGATGAGGACTCTGTTGTCTTTGGCCCACTTCCTCAGAGTTCGTATTATGTATTCAACCTGAGGGTTTCCTGAGTTGCGCAGCAGGGGCACCACCTCTTTAAGCGTCTCTCTGGAACACAAACAGGAAGTGTGAGGAGACGAGACGGATCCAGAACGCACCGTCTCTCATGTTTCTTTTTTAACAGGACACACATGTGAAACAAAAATATTATCCGGATTGTGTTTGTGAGTGATACTGAGATGCTAAAACTGCTTAAAAACTGGATGTGTAAAGATGAAATCAAACGTACTTGGACTCCTTGTTGGCCAGAATGAGCTGGAAGATGCCGACACATGCGCCTCGCTTGCCTTCCCAGTAGTTGGATCCTGGGTCCAGTTTCTCCAGAGCATCAAACGCTTTGGCTGCATAGTAAAATTGTCCCATCTAAAAAATTTAAAAAAACAACCAGCATGATCGTGAGCACTGGGATGCAACATTTTGAAATGAAACCATCAGGTATCAGAATGGTCGAGGATTAATCTTCTGTCGTTTCAGCGGAGATGAGCGACGAGGCAGACGGAGGGGGAGTGGTCACCTTGTAGCAGTCGTTGGCGATGAGCTGCAGCAGACTGAAGGAATCCGACGAGGTGCCCATCTTCAGGTAGAGCTCCCAGGCATGCTGACCCTTCTGGTTCATTATGTCTGACAAGAAACAAAAACAAGTGCTGAACAGTCCATCATCTGCAGCCGGTTTCAGAAACCTTCACAGACTCAGATTTGCAGAAATGAGAGGCGCCTGTGGGCTGGATTTATTGATGTGAGTGAAGCCACTAAAAGAAGAGAAACGGTTTCTCAGAGCTGCCGAGAGGAAGTGCAAGAGGAAGCTGAGAAACCACGTGTGAACTTTACTATACTCATTAACAACAACAACAATACATACAACATCGTGCCAGCCAGCTGATGTAAACGTAATCATTCTTGATCTTTTCATTTTGAATCAGCAGAAAAATCTGAAAAAAAAAAAACACTAGAATCAGTCAAAAACAAACAAAAACAACATGTTGAGACTCGATCACATAAAAGCAGCTGTGTGTTGGTGTCATGCAGTGAGCTGGGTTACCTCTTCTGCTTGCTTGAAGTTGCCGAGGGCGGCTTTAGCCTGAGCGTAGTTGAAGTTGAACGTGTCGTCATTAAAGAAATAACCCTGCCGAAAGAAATTAAACGGTTCACATGTAGGCCGCAGTTCCTTGAGTGTCCACTTGAGGATGCAGTTCCTTGAGTGTCCACTTGAGGATGCAGTTCCTCGAGTGTCCACTTGAGGATGCAGTTCCTTGAGTGTCCACTTGAGGCCGCAGTTCCTCGAGTGTCCACTTGAGGCCGCAGTTCCTCGAGTGTCCACTTGAGGCCGCAGTTCCTCGAGCGTCCACTTGAGGAACCACCAAATCCCCATTAGGTCCCATTTGAAATGCAAAAATAAACATCCTGGTACTCAAACAGTTTTGGGTAGTTAGGTTGAGGTAGCCACCATTGTTGGGCTTCAAAACACCTCTTCAGACACCAAAGGTTGACGTCCATGTTTTCTACAGTCTGATGATGATTCTACACACTGTGTCACACAATTAAAGTAGCATCTTTGTTTCTTCACATGCATATTGTCCTTCGATGTCGTGCGTCTTGTAAAGAGCAACACTCACCTTGACGGAGTTCAGATATATGAGAACGTCATCAAACAGTCTCAGGAGGAAGAAGCAGGAGGCCATGCACTGCCTGCCGGGAATCGTGTCTGAAAGTGAAGAAAATGTAAATGTACACACATGTTCTCTCATTCTGTATTCTCAGACAAAAACCCTGAGAATATCCTGAAACTCTCAGAGTTGTGAGCTGATGTGAGAACGCAGCAGGATATGATCAGGAGAATTCACCTGGAGCGAGGTGGGGGTGGTGGTGACGTTTATACCCTGTGATCGCTGCACGACCATAGACTGTCTGCACTCAACCTCTACCATCTCTGTGCTCTAATCAACCTGCTGCATTATGTTTTCTGTTCTCCAGTATGTTCTTCTCCACGTAGCATTGATCTAAAGACAAATATTCTCATTATAAGACTCTGTCGCTTCGTCCACCACATCCACTTCATTCTGTTGACGTCACAACTTTCCTCAGGATTTTTTCATACAGTATGTGTCTTTATTACATCATGTCTCTACCCCTGTTACCCTGTCACACTGTGAAAACTCCAATCTGTGAAGGACATGTGATCAAGCACCTCAGGAAGATTTCAGGGGAAGAAAGACTGTCCTGAAATTGGATGTTTACAGGATTGCATATTTCTATTCAATGTACCGCACTCGCTGGCCGAGCCTCCGACCAGCTGAAAGAACTGCTGAGCGATTTTCAGGTGATCCCTCTGAAAGGAAAAAAAAACAGAAGAGTTACAAACAGCCGTCTTCATCTCACTGTTATCGTTGCCTTTATTTTTAAAGGAATACTCGCCGATCCAATTTGTTGTCCCAATGCTGCGTTCACCACTCCTTTCAGAATATACTCCTGAAAAGATAAAAAAAAAGTCTGAATGAAAACACTTTGTCTGCTCTCCTGTCAGTCTCATTTTTAGTGAACAGGAAAAAGGGACCTTGAGCTGAAACGCACACAAAGGGAAGTTAATCTATCTCTTTCTTTAAACTTCTTAAAAATGTTTTACAACCAAAATCCAAAATGCACAACAACCAAACACTCCACATGCTTTCAGCTCCAAGAGACAAAAGTGGCTTTCAAACATAAAGAAATAAAGACTCTTCAGGAGCTCTTCAGTGAAGCAAGGACGAAAGGTTTATTCACAGACATGCTTTTATTTCACTATCACAACCCGCTCACCAAACATTAACCCTTCAGAATCAGAATCAGATTTATTAACCAGGTACGCTTACACACACAAGGAATTTAACTTCAGTGAACTGTGCTCTCTTATGTACAGGTACAACATTAAATATCAACAATAAACATAATAAGAAAAGACTAATATTTACGTGACTAAATATGAAACAGTACAGTGGTGAAGAGTGCAAAAGATACTGAAGTAACATGATGAGTAAAATGCAGTTATGTGACGTGATGAGTCAGTTAAGATGTCAATTACAGTATTTACATAAATAAGAGTGTGTATATTGATCATTTAAATTAAATAATATATATATGTGTGTGTGTGTGTGTGTGTGTGTGTGTGTGTGTGTGTGTGTGTGTGTGTGTGTGTGTGTGTGTGTGTGTGTGTGTGTGTGTGTGTGTGTGTGTGTATATTTACAGTGATGGTTTGGTTTAGAGTCATTTCACCGCGACAGGTCTGACACATTAAGTTATTACCTGGGGAGTCGTGGGCACCAGATCCTGGATCAGGTTGTAGGCTTCCTGGACATCGTCTACAAGTGTAAAACACACAATGAGCTAATAATGTAGGTGATATCTGTGTCTTATAACTGAAACATGGAAACAAGAAGAGAAGCTGTGTTTACACTTAATGATGCATAAATACATCTAAGAGAACAAAGAGGGCGGGGGGGAGAGGGGGAGGCGTTTCATTCTGTTGTGTTGTTTACTGTCATTCCATAAACAGCAGCGGAGCCTCGGCTGCCCTCACCTTGTCTGAGGTAGTAGATGACCAGGTTGAGTCTGGCCTCGGGAATCACATCGATCAGAGGAGGCAGGACCTGCAACGCCCCCTCTCCCCCGCGAAACACCACCTGCAGGACACAGAGGAGAGAGTCAGAGGGGGGAGCAGGGCACACACGCACGCACGCACGCACGCACGCACGCACGCACGCACGCACGCACGCACGCACGCACGCACGCACGCACGCACACACACACAGTGAAGAGCTTACCAGGTTGTGTCGGATAAGCTCCTTAGCAAACTCAAAGGAGCAGGAGGAGATGTCGATTAGGTTCTTCAACTCCGCCTTCAAGGGACATTTTGCACATTAGTGAAACCTAGCAACACTTTCTGACACCACAGAAAAACAACAACAAGCCGGGATGACATCACTGCAATGCTGCATGAAGAGACAAATACATGTAGAAACATAAAAAAAAAACATGTATTCACTTGTAATTGTCCTTATTCTTTAAATGTTTTGCATTTCATTAGAAACATGTTTGGATGCCCAGAAGGTCGCTTTTGTTGCCATGGTATCAAAACAGATATCAATAACAACACTTCTCAAAAACTAAAATAAAAGACTGTTTTGCTTTGTAAGTTATTTATTGGACCTTTTTGCCATTATTAGACAGGACAGCTGAAGAGAGACAGGAAGGACAGAGTGGGGGACGACCTGCAGCAAAGGTCAGAGGTCAGATGAAATCAAGGCCGCTGCGACGAGGACTTTAGCCTCTGTACATGGGGCGTGCAACATAACCGCTAGGCTATCTGGCGCCCCAAAATAAACCTTTATAAGACATTTAATGACCTTTTTTTTTTTTTTTTGGCGTTTAAGCCGCCCATCGTCCTTTAAAGTTCAGACTTGAGAAACAACGTTAGCTGTGATGTGCAGAAAACAAAAACATGGAGTACCTCAGCCGCTTTGCCGTTGTAGAGTCTGAAGTGGTTGCAGGCCTTCAGGTTGAGGGCGATGGTGGAGTCGGGAACTCTCTGCAGGTACACGGCCAACACCTCCTGGGACACGTCGTAGTAGTCCAGCTTGTAGTAACACAGAGCCACGTAAACCTTCAGGGCCAGGAAATCTCTGAGGGACCAGATCAAGTGGAAACTGGCTGTCAGACTTGAATGTGGTGCTAGCTTCACACAAGGTACTGTCATAGATAAAAGACATGTTAGTGTGTAAACAGAGATGCAATTATTAACTTAATTAGAGTTTTTAGATTAGAATCAAAGCCATCATGATTTATTAGAAAGGGTCACAGAGTGCATACTCAAATGTGATGTGTGTACTGTTACCGTTTGGATGTTTGTTATCCAACTCTAGATATTACTTCCTGTTGTAGTAACTTTTATTCATTTTTCCATTATTTTATTACTGTCCTTCCCGTTTTGGTGCTTTAGGATTTGAATCTACTGCTCTCAAAGTCTGTTGTTATTTACTCTCTGTTCTTTTGTGAAGCACTTTGGGCTGCATGCTGTCGTGTATGAAAAGTATTATATAGATAAAGTGGAGTCGGAGTTTGCAAGAATAATTCCTGCATCCTTCACCATGCTCCTCTGACTCTAACATGTGTCTCTATTCTGTCAACAAACCCCCCAATGATGAGAAAAGTCCATCCTCTCCGTCTTCTGCCTGCTCCACTTTTCAGAAAATGTGTGCTCAAACAGGCCATTTGGAGATTTCCCTTCATGACATCACAAAGGGCAGTAGCCCCTCCCCCAGGTGGGTGACACTCCCACAGCTAGGTGTTTTTTTCTGCCCTCTGAGTCTGCCTTCTCACCGTAAAGAATAGGACATAGAGCGAGAAAGACAGAGTATACCCAAACCCTTCCAGAGAGGGGGCGTGGTCAGACACCGCTCATTTACATATTTAAAGGTACAGACACAGAAACAGCCTGTTCTGAGCAGGGCTGAAATAGAGTGGTTTATAGACATGATCAAATACAGGATCAGAGTGGATTTAGAACAAGAAACTTCACACACGAGGAGAAATATGTGACCTTTAATATCTATGTTTTTCTTTGCTTTCATGAGAAGTCGTAGTAGAGGAAAGCCATGTTGCATTTCAAAGCAAACTACACTCTGCAGCACAGCCCTGCAACTAAAGCTGAAGCGGTTAACCTGAAAGTCACCTCAGATGCACCCGAGCCCACAGTTACCACACAGCCTGACTAGAGCTCTGTGAAATCAAGAGACTTTCTTTTCTCACCTCTGTCACGAGAGATTCAGTAAATCAGCGTAAAAAAGCAGCTAGCTCAGCAGCTCTGACACTTGAATTATCTCAGAGAGGGTCCGCAAGGCGTGAGGTGCATTAAATGAAACACTCCTCCATTAACAACTCTCACCTGTCAAGGTGGTGCAGGGGGAGGGGGGTGGGGGGCACAGACCTGTCCTGCAGTAGGAGGCGTTTATAGATGTCTATGGCCTCCTGGTAGTGTGAGCGCATGTAGTGGATGGATGCCAGGCTCAGCTGGTCCTCTATCACATCCTCCAGGTTCTGGTGGAAACCCATCAACTTCTTCTCATCGTTGAACTTCAGACAACACAGAAAAACAACATTTCATGTAATGTAGGGAATAAATTATAAAGGCATTTAATCACCTGAAAAGCTAGAGGAAGTGAAAACACTCATACATCTCTAAACACAAGGGAGGAGGTTAATTCAAGGATTCTCTCTTTTTGAGAAACAGAAAATGTAAAACTATGTATCTCGCTGTTTTCACATCTGCACTCCTGAAAATATCTAGATAACTTCTGGAGGTCTGCTGATGATATTCTCCTGATCTGGCTGTTCACACATGCACCTCACAGCGGGAGACTATCCCCCCTTGGACTCAAATATTGTATTCTGTGACTGAATCCACAGGATATAAACGTCACCACTCTCTCCCACTCTCTCCCACTCGCTCGAGGTGAATTCTCCTGATAATATGCTGCGTTCCCAAATCAGCCCACTCGGACTCGCTGCGGTTAAAACACCAGGGTCTGGCAGGAGAAACTCCAGATAAAGTCAGAGTGGAAAATATGTTTGTTTGCGTTCCCACATACAGCGCCTCCTGGAGTTTTCTGCTTATGAAAGCATGAACGCAGAATGTTTCTCTTATACACCTGTTTCCACTAAATCAGGGAAACTCTGTAATAAATGACACGATAAGCACTGAGGAGAAGTGAACACACAGAAGTCAAATAATTCAATAGTTTTCCAACCTTGTGAGCCAAGTGGAACAGCAGTCTGTTTTGGAGGGGGGACATCGGAGCTAAAGGGAGCGGGAGATACAGAAGTTAGTGAGACAGAAAACCAGAGTTCATAACCTTCCTCTCAGCAATCACAAAACTGAGCTTTCATTTGATCTGGAAACATTGTACTGTACATCAAATCTGTGGGGTGAACACAGACTAATGCTGCACTATGGTTGTGACAATAGCAGAATGTTGAACCCATGTACAGAGACTATAGTCCTCATCGCAGTGGCTGTGGGTTCAAAACTAACCTCGGCCCTTTGCTTCATGTCATTCCATACTTTTAGCTGTCCTATCAAAATAAAAGCATGGTTTCGTATCATGCAACGAGTCCAAAACAGGATTTTTAACTGCATACAAATAATATAGATCAGCCATCACTACACTGAGGAGGAACTATAACTCTGCTATGATGACTTGTAGTCACATCTTTTAAAATGCTTACTAATGAGCTTCAGACAGCGTTAACAGTGTAGGGCTGTTGATCAAACAGCACCGAGCTAAATGTAGAGTCACCGCTAGAAAAAGACAGAGAAGCCTACCTTTAGACGCAGCCTCCTCGGCTTCTTTATAGAACCCCAGAAAAAACAGCGTACAGGCCAGATAGACCCACACCTCAGCTGGACAGTCAGGCCCCGTGGTCAGAGACTTGTACACCTGTGAGAAGAGAACATTATCAAGACATCTGATAACATCCTCTTCCATCCCTCACAGGTGTTGACAAGTCGATATTTAAATAAGACAATTGATTTGTGAAGCTTCACAAAACATATGAAGCAAGAAAATACCTCCATTGCTTTCTTGTAATCGCCCAGGTGGAAGGAGCAGTAGCCCGTCCAGAGGTCAGCGTGCTCCTCTGATTCCCAATACCTCTCTGAAACTAAAGATGACACAGCGACAGATCAGCAGAGGAGCAGCAGTAGCATTCAGCAGTACAGGGTCGTAGTCTGTGGCTCAGAGGTGTGATTCTGTTTTGTGAAAATTTAATTCCAGTGCATGACACGGGCTCATCTGCAGGAGGCTTTGCAGTCAGATACAGTGGTGTGTTTCTGTGTTCAAATGATACACACCGCAGTCACAGAGGCTTTCACTGAACTCAATCAAAGTCTGATATGTTTTAATCATAGCAAACTACTGCTTTAGTCCTGAATACTGAATTTTTAGAGTTCAATCAATAATAAAGGGAACACAATTTGTGCCATCATGATTTTCTTTTTATTCTTCTCTTTATTTCATGTGATGGTTGTGTGTGGTGGTGCTGGCTGAAAATTAAACCCAGAAGTAACACTCTCAACTCCCTTTCAATGTAAAACAACTGGATGCTGAATCCAGAAAAACATTACATTTTAAAAGTTAAAATCACACTCTGAGCGACTTACATTACATGGGCGTAGACGTTGTTAATTCATTGTTAATTGCACACAGCGGGCGCTCCTGAGCCGCTGGGGATTTGGTGCCTAACTTAACCTCAGCAGTGCTCACCTCTCCAGCTACCAGACCTGACTTTTTCCGCACCAGGACTTGAACTTGCGACCCTCAGGTTCCCTACGGACTGAGCTACTGCCGTCCCAATTAATGGCGATTAAAATGTTATCATTTGACAGCCATAAAAAATTGTTTTAAAAACACAAACTTTTAGAACTCATCCTTCTGGCCGACTGGCTGAAGGACAAACCGTCGGTGTCCTATAAAAACATGGGACTCATTCTCAAACTATAATTGAATGAGGAAGGCACAGACGTTACAAAGAGGACTCTGTGGACTTGATGGACTGACATTCCTAAAGAGGCTCGTTCTCAGCCTGTATTCAACCTCTAATCATGTGAAAAACTTTACTCCTGAACCCTTGGTCATGTAGCTGGTACACAAGTCTAAGATCAATGAATGTCATATATTGTCTTGATAGATTTCTTTCAAGTTGACACTGTTGAAGATATCTCTCTGAATAAATAAATCTACTTCAGATTTGGGGAGATTTTCATACCTTTCTGGAGACAGAGCCTGAAATGTAGAACCTCTCCATTACACATACGTACTCAATTTTTATTGCCAAGTACTTTCATACATAGAAGGAATTTGACTGTGTTGTGTTGCAAAAACAATTATCAAAGAACAAAAGCAAAAACAGACAGATGTTTGTAAGTCAAGACTCTTTTCATGCATGCTGTGTTCTTAGTTCGACTCTTTGACCTGCATGGTTTGATTCCACTGGATATTTTTCTATGAATTCATTTATTTTTTGTGTGATTATTTACTGCCTTTAAGAACGCCACTGTGAATGAATGTAATGCTGTGGGACAGTCGTTATGTATTGTTATGTAGATGTTTTTAGTGTATGTTTGATTTCTCTGTCTTCCACAGATGTGAATGAGCTCATAGCTAACTCTGGTTCAGCTAACAGGCTGTGCACTGTCCCTGTCAAAATTCACAATACATAAAAAATATATGTTATTATACCCGCTTGTTGATTCAGCTTTTGGATTGTTTGGATTAAAATCAATCAAAACAATGATGGAAAAAAAAAAAAAAATCAGTTTATCAGCGCCCTCTGGTGGACAAGTGAAGTAATGTTTTTACAACATAATTTTTTTCTCAGTTTAAACATAGACTGATACTAATATACATCTTGAATTAATCTTTATAAATGATCTAAATGAATGACATGTGTGCAATATTTCCAGAGTTGGCAGTGAGTGATGACCTCATTGAATGACCATGAAAAAAGTCTTTCAAAATCAACTTTCTCTCTCCAGAGTTAGCGCTGTCCTCGCTCCTCCCTACGCCTCCTTCCAACTCTTATGTCCTTTAAAACTTTAAACCTGGTGAATCTGGAGTCAGTTTATTCTCCTCGACCACCTGCACCTGCTCTTTTCAATGTCATGTGACATTTACTGGATTAAGCCTAGTGCTGGGTGACATGGATAGAGACACAGAAGAAAGAGCTAAATCGAAAGCAACAGCAGATAAAACAGATTGTCTCTGGTTGCTATGGCAACAACATAAGTCAAATATGTTTAACTGTAGTTTCATTTCTACTGCTAGAGCTTAAAAATAATAAGAAAAACTTGATCAGGACTTTAGTTTCTCACTCTGTAAGTCGTAGCGATGCAGTGGTTCATTTATTTGAGTTCTGTTTATTTTACTTCATTCTTCTCTTTTTGGAGGAAACTAGTGACTTTTACTCCACTACCTTTGAAAAAATATTGTACTTTGGACTCCACTGGATGTTCTTGTTACTCACTGCTTTAGCTCTGAAGTCAGCTGATGACTTCTGTTTTTCAAAATATGATCTGAAAGGCAATCATCTGTAGAGGGAAACTCTTGCGCTTTAACCGCTCCACAAATGGAGGCCGGTGCTCTCAGAAAAGGACCACATTTAATTTGACCAAAATACATTTGCCTTTAAAAGTGATTTGTGTCCTCCTGTACTTTCTCTGGATCCTGTCCATGAGAAGGAGTCCACTGGAATATATTTTGAACAACAATGAACTGTGTTTGTGTAGTTCTGCGTGTGGTTTGTCTAAGTGGGGTTGTACTTCTGGTTGAACACAGAGTCAACGCAGAGCAAATGTCACTGAAATCACAAGATCAGGCGGTTCATTCAGTGGTGATATGACGATTCTCCACCTGAGCACTCATGGCCACATCTTCAGCCCATGTTTGAAATTTGACCGTTTTCTGGCTGTGTTGTTTGCTGTCATGAGGATTATTTGCATTTTCTCTCGTTCCAAAAACAGCGGCGGAGCCTCGGCTGCACACACCTTGTCTGAGGTAGCAGATGTCTGGCTGACACTTTCCCTGCTCACCTGGTATTGTTGTTCTTTTATTTTGGAGCTGCAAATCTGTAGCATGTGAGTTTATAAAATGTAAACAAGGTTTTCTAAATAAACATAATGTAGCAGAATGAACACCCATGTGTTCTTGACTTCACTCATCGGGGAAAATACAGCAATGTTTTGAGATGTATTTTTAAAGTATTCCAGTTCCTACTTTAACTCAAGTAATCATTTGAATGAGCACCTCTCACTTGTCATATTTGACCATGAGAATCTAAACTTTGACCCGAGTACTGAAGTTGTGTACTCCAACCACTGCGCAGATGTTGGCCAGCTGCAGAGCCAGTGGTGAGCGTTGCTTTAATGTGAGCATGAAACACAATATTTGATTTGTTTTAAAACGTGAAGTTAAGGTTGTGTACGTACCTCCAAAAGTGTCAGTGCCCCGAGGTAGTCTCTCTGTTGTAGATACTCCTCCAAGCGGGAAACCTTTGTTTGGTTTTTCTTCTTTTTCTCGCTGACGCTGCCCAAGGCGGGCTTCGACCGAGAGAGGATCTGTCACGACCACAACCACAAAAACACTTACAGGAGCAAGTTAACACAAAACCTGTCAGAGCAACTACTTCAGACTCAGTTAATCTCAAGATAAACAGCAAGAGGCAAGGCAGGCAACTGCTTGGGGCCCTGACCAGTAGGGGGCCCTGACCAGTAGGGGGCCCTGAGGGCTCAAAGCAGTGACCAAAATGTGCTATTTTTGCAGGGACAGTAGGAAACCTCCCTAAGGGGCCCCATGTGACAGCGTTGCAGCATCACTGCAGTGAAAACAAAGTTTGTCAATAAAAGTCAACAATTAAAAAATGATGGGGATGAATGCTGAATTGGATTTTGCATTAAAACAACAAATGAGGAACACAAACAAACACGCAAACTCACCATTTCGACGTATTCGCGTGGAAGAGATATCAAAGTGGTGTCACACCTGGTTATCACTCAGCTAGCTAACGTCGTGCGTCCAGATGAAAACAGTTAGCTTCTGCGCTTTCTACCTGCAGAGAGGTGAAAGGTGTCGGCTTTCATCGTGTATCCGAACCACACCATCAAACATAACTGAATCTATTTACGGCTAACATGCCTGTGATAACTGTGTAGTTTATTCTGTCTCTTGTACGCCGTTGCTATGTGAGATCTAAGCGGTTGCTAAGTTGCTAACTGATGATTAAACAGAAGCGTGTAGGTACTTTTCCGCTCTAATATTTTCAAAATAAAGGCATGTCTAGTGCTCATGTTGTAAGAAGGTGGTGGGAATGGAACAGAAGGCACGTTTAGACCTATGGTTTTAGACGTGACTTTGTTAGAGGTTCTCTGCTGAATATCTCGGAGCTCACCCACGGCTGGCGATTTTTAAAAAGTACACTCGAGCGGCAATTATTTTGAAGTCGAGCGGAGTTTAGGGGCTTGACAGGAAACAGCTCGGCTAACGCTGCCCTAGCTTCTTTACATGACTTATTTGTTGCCTAGCAACGGGGCACGGAGATAGTAGTTGCATTCGGGTGGTGTCTGACACGTCGGAAAAACGAGTTGTAAAATGCACATGAACGCCTGCTCAAGTCGGAACAACAACTTGAAAACACGGAAAAGAATGAGGTGACCTACTTCCCGACTTGCCGTCAGAATCGTCATCACATGGGGGCAAAATATGTTTTGTTAATGTTAACATACTTTTTTATTCATTTACGTATTGCAAATCAACTTTTTGCTCAAATATAACTTTTAACAGTTACATTTTACTGATCTTCTTCGTAGCATCAACGCTGTTTTGTGATGTTGTTAAAAGATTCAGACTTTCTGAGCTGAAATCACATGAACACACTGAACACAAGTCGGAAGAACGACTTTTCAAACTCGTAAACTTGGACCACCCGAGCAGCACTTGAATGCAGCATTTGGCTGCTACACGACACGGCAGGAAACGACGTATTTAGGGTTTAAACACATTTTTAAATGTGATTTTGTGACATTTCAACATCTACATGTTCATTTTGTCACAGTATTAATCTTTTATTTTTTCTGTGGGGCTGTAGCACTGTCGTAGTTGCCCCAGTGGCCTAATGGATAAGGCACTGGCCTCCTAAGCCAGGGATTGTGGGTTCGAGTCCCATCTGGGGTGGACTATTTTAAGTTGCCCTTGATGGATATATTTCACTCATTAATATCTTGTCTGTGGTAGCTGCCATCAGTTCATAAAAGACTACAGGAAGGGTTCAAAATATTTCATTGTTGGTAGTAAATTATGAAACATAGTGTGACCTCATATTTAGTTTTCTGTGTATGACGTGTTCTGTGCTATAATGATTAAAGAGTTTAGGATTTAACCCTGAGTGCTTCAAAGCAAAGATAGTACAAATAAATGTAATACACCCTAAAGCAGAGGTTCGCAAACTATGTTAAGAAATCTCAACAATATTTAAAAAAAAACAAAAAACCTGTTCAGCATAAAACAACATTTTTTTTATTTCTGTCGTGCTCCTATCTTATCACTAGGCAAACACTGGGAGTCACTCAGAAGCACAGGTAAGTTTTTTATTTTTTTTTTTTATCATTAGGTGCAATAGCGTGACAAACTGGGGACATATACAGGTACATGACAAAAAACAAACTGACAAGGTCAGGACAGCTACGACAAAATACAATCAAAAAAATAAGAGCAAATAATGAGACATGCATGAGTTGCAGATGAAAATATATAAATCAGTATGAGCATCTATAAAGAGCTATATGTTGATGTTTTGAACCATGGTGACTGGTGGTCTTCTATAATCTGAAAAGTATCTTAAGAGATATAGGTATTATCTTTGCTATCATAAATTACATGAACTACATATCTCACTGTGATTTCTGTGAGGTATGTAGAAATTATGACACATGACATATGAATACAAGGGGGTTTTGGCTACATATTAAACCCATACGATTTCATTTTTGCAGGAAAATATGCAGCAAATAAGGCGTTGGTACTTGGATTGGCCGGCTTACAGACTAATAGAGTTCACCGATTGGCACACTTACAAACTCATCAAATCACTCAAAGACAACAGAAAGTTAACCCTTAGAAGTGACTTGATCAGACAGCTAAATATGATAGTGTTGGTTGTTTTAATCATCTTCTTTAGGCATAAAATACAATTTCTAACTATTTTTCAATAACTTTATGTCTTGAGTTACACCTCCACTACATATATGTTCATTTTAAAATAAAGGAATGTGTCATAGTTAAACCTGGGCTACACTTAGCAATATCATCAAGCAGGCGTCCCAAGGGCGTTACCCAGCCATTCATTCCACTCTATCACAATCAGGTGATCTCTGAGCAGGTCCTCGATGCGATTCCCCGAGTCTTCCTTCTAGTCAACATTAACTTAAAGGTTTGTAAAATATAATGTTTTCAATACTGTTATTGGTGTGCAAAAAATTAGTCTTCTATAGGTCATCTATGTAACATTTAATGGGGCGCACAAACATGGCGTGGATAATGCTTGTAGATGGTTTATAAACCAATTATTAATCATTGATAAAATATTAATTATCTATCTAAAAAATATTTATAGATGCTTTACAAAGTATTAATAAGGGATTATAATCTTCAATTCCAACTTTATAATAACCATCCAAATAATGTTAATAGACGCTTTATAAAATATTTACAAACCATCAACAAATATCTGGTCCATGTATCGCTGTAATGTTTATAGATGTTTTATAAACCATCTCTTAAAGGTTTATAAATCATTTGGTCATCATTAACAAACACTTTATAAAGCGTATGAAATGTTATAATGTGTGCATCAATAAACTGTTAACATAACATAAATTATAGCATTACAAATCATTAGCAAACACTATTAACTATAATTTCATTGTTTGTTAACAGTAAATAACTATTAACTAATGGTTAATTAACTATTTATTTACCCTTATTTACCCTTTATAGATGATGGTTATTATAAACTGTTACCGGGGACTTTTACACCTTCAGTTTCACTATGACTTCCAGGAACAGATGGCTGACGTCACTCAGGCTTCAAAGATTCATATTTACAGTCTATGATATT